GTTTAGAGGCGTCTTTGATTGAAGGTGACGCGACCGCACTGTGAAATAACGCACCCAATGCACATAACTTGATGGCAAATAGTTTGCAATGCCCTTTGTACCTCATAAAAAGAATCTTTCCGAAGCAACAGTAGCCGAAGGATTGGTATTAGTTTTTCAAGTCGAAGGCCCAGCTAGCAATACCCTACAAGACGGACCAGTCAGATGTCTGTCACGTTCGGCTGAGATATTGTGGCTAGTTCTACGACATCGCAGGCTTGGAAGGATCTGCGAATGGCGCCGTCTAGAACGATAATTACCTCGTTTGTTTGAGAGCAATTAGACCGTGACGGATGGAACTCAAACATCTTTTACTGTACTTAGTCATAGTCTTCTGAAACATTGTTTCTGTGTAAGAGTCTAAAACAGCAGGATTTATTGGTACCAAGCAATTTCGCGACGGCTTTCCAACTGCTACCTGCCTATGCATCACACAGCGCAGGGTCCGATTGGTTCGTGCAGGAACAAGTGCTCGGATAAATGTTTTGAGGTCAACAGAGTGACCACCGTCTAGCAAATGTTTTGTAATAGAGGACCGTAGTACACTGTTTTCTTACTTGAAGAGCCAATTAAACAAATGCTTAGTGGCCCTGGCCTCCACTGGCTGCTATATATTGAGTTATGTGCAAAATCGAACTATTGTGTACTGCCAATCGTTGTCTATGTTATGCAAAGACGGGTAGCAGTTTAAAAGCTGTCGGTAAATGTATTGGTAGTAATAAATACTGCCTGCTTTAAATTAGGCAAAGTCGTCCTAGTAAAAACGTTACCGTGAATGCGGTCGTTCGCATGCACCCAGGTGGCCTCAAGTCACGAAATTCACACCAAGGAATTGCTTAAGATAGTTAAATAACCATTTAAGACCCCATGCAACAGATACTTAGGTAGCTGATCAGCTCAGGTGGCCTCTTCATCAGGCGCATCGAGGAGGAACTGCTCAAGTAAGCAAGGCAACTGAGCACTTAATCACCACAAGTGCGTGCTTGGAAACGTTCCTGAGACCATCGGTTCAAAGAACAATTGCAAATAAGATGCTCGAATCGAGGCTACGTCATTAGCACGATTAAGGAGCACTATCTGCTGACTTTGATATCATTGGCATGGGCGAAGGCTGGATACATTATAAATAATTTCTGATGCCTATGGATGTGCAGAGGATAGTATAAGTCTGTTTTATTAATGTATCCGAAAGCATAGACTGCCCCGTGAGGTCTCAAAATAACCTGCTCCAAGCAGTGACACAGCGGTCGGTTTTTCATAGTTTTTATCACAAGGCGGCCCCATTGTCTCGTCCAGCGCCGCCACCGAAAGCAAACACAGACATATGCATTGCACACTGTTCATTATTAGGTTTTAAGGGACTGAAGTAAAATTAAGATATCCCCCGATTTCCGACGAGCGCAGTCCATTTGGCGAGGTTTGTCGATACTGCCTGGACGAAATGGTCATAGAAGGTGAATAGATTAATTGACTTCGCATGGAGACTCCTTCGTTCGCAGGCTGCATTTAAAAAAAAACGATATATAAACCTTGACAGCCGGTGCGAGTTCCCGTCTCTAAGCTAATACAATTTTATTTTAGTTCTACATTATATAAGCTTTCGTGGCTACATGGCCTATAACAGACTCTGCTTGACATGTATCGAAAGGTACACACCGTATCCCACAGATAAGCGCAGCTAATGCACAGCAGCTACGACAGGAGTCGCTGCAGGGCAGACTTTCGGATCGCCGCCGCTTGCTTTCATAACACACACCGCAAGCCCTAATCTGGCGATTTATAGAGGCCTGCATCCTCCCCTCATTCTCAAATGCCCTCTAGTTATTTCTCCAGCTTTACTTAAAAAAGACCTAGAAATTTTTAAACATATCCTCTGAAGGCTATCTTCAGCGGCCGGTGTTTCCTGTTTTTTAGATGACATTACAATAAGACACTTTAAAACGGTCAAGCAATTTGCTGGTCGTATCCTTAGTGAGGTTGTTCACCCTCTCCACTCTGAAATAATGGCTGCGAAGTCTTCCCGTACTATGCGCCGAAGCTTACATGGTGTGTCTTGCCATACATCGGCATATCAGCACTCTTTACTCCCATTCCTAGCACAGTACCTCACGTGTGAAGAAGCAGAAATTGAGAAGTTGAAAGCCGACCTTTCTCTATAACAGATGTGGATATCGTGTAATCTTTAACTTTAAGTATTCTATGAACTTTGACCATGACCGCTTACCTCATCTTTACCCCCTGTTCTCCGTGAGCGGAGCCATTTTTTGCTGAAAATTTTTGATATTACATCCAAAATATAGTATTCACTCTCCCTTGCACCTGTCGATCGCATAACGCGTTTCTTTTGTCGACTATCCGACTTCGCAAGAAGTGAAAATAAAGATAATAGGTTCCCAGTTTTAGACACACCTAAGTACAAATAGTATAGCATTTGCCTTCGTGGGCGAAAAGCAAATTACTCCGCGAAGCTCATATTTCAGGCAATTTTGAAGGTAGGATTTGCCGATATTCGCTAAACAACAAAACGGGTGCATTACCGACTGTCTTCATTAAATAAGGCCAGAAATCTGTCCGTGTAGGATAGAACGCATGGCACCAGGCGAGCTAGTGTTTGCCCTTATCAACCGTCCGAAGATAGCCTTAGGAGCATGCGGTAAATGGCTTCATGGAAATTCAGAGGCCATGGATTTAAGGAGTAAGTGACGGTAAGGTCCATGTTTGGACTTCTACAGACCAAAGGCAACCAGCCTCATAAAGAAATCAGGGAATAAGTGTAATATAAGCAACATCCGGAAGCCACCTTCTATATAGACGGTATTTCCTTTTTCCTTTAATAAACCTTCCTGAAATCCCCTCGCTCGTCATTTAATCAGCAAAAAACAGGATTGCCTTGCCGTGAGCATTTTCACGATTTACACTGGCGGATGTCGGCAGCACTTCAATCCCCAGTGGTATTTAACTGATATTACGTGACCACATCTCACTCTGAATGGATCACTTTTACGGTACCTCCGTGATCCTTTGTATCGTCATATTTTTCTTTCTGCTACTCTACCATTTATTTACTTTAGCGAACTTCCTACGTTATTAACCCGTTGTTTTATCATTTCAATATATGCATGTTTGGTGTGATGTTAAACAACTCTGGCCAATGTCACATTACCAGAGAACTGTTCGGTTGATCTATTCAGTCGTGTGTACTAACTTCGACGTAGTCGGTCGCTATACACCCCGAAAGGACGGAATATGGTGACGACGAACAAGTGATACCTGTTCGAAGATTCACGACTACAACTCGATTTTCCGCAGATGTTCTTTCTTTTCACCATATCATCTCGGAATGCAACTTACTTCACTTATCCAATACAGTGATCATCTACATCTGTGACTGATAAGTAATTGGCACCTTGAAAGAGACGCGCATTTGTTCACAGTACACGTTGAGTACTCCTGCGACTTCTATGGCTTAATTAACAGGCTTAATTAACAGGCTTAATTAACAGGGATCAAAACATGTACCAAGAGTACCCGGAGATTCCCGAGACAGAAAAGGACACAAAGGCCCTCGATGAAACGAAATGGAAAAAAACAGCAAATCGTGCAATGAGCGACACCAAAAACGTTGTTTTAGAACTATAATTGTGAAACACCCGACGCAGAGACCGCAGATATATCTTACAGTCTAATCTACTTTCTAATAAAACGGTCAATAAAAACCATGAAACCGACATTCACTCGCAATACAGAGTAGCTTAAGAGTCAGATAGAGGGGGCTGTAGTGCATTGCTGGGAAAGCACACAAAAAATTTAATGAAAAC